AAATTTGAAACAAGGTCTTGCTATAAGTCACTCAGTTGTCTAGGCTGAACGCAAACTTGTGATCCTCCTACCCCAGCCTCACAGAATGCTGGGACCTAGCCTACTTTTAAGGATACTCCAAGGTTGAATTTTTCTTATCTTCTCTCCCTATTTTTGTTAAGCCTCTTTTAGTACTATAGATGAATCTTATTCTTTACCCTTAATAAAAACCTGTATCATTCGCCTATATTCATTAGTTCTTTTTTGAGACACCTTTAGTCATTGTCTTATGGTCCCTCTTATGGTTAACAGTTAATGTATTTGAACATTTTTAGTAAAGGCTTTTAAAATAAAGATTCTTAAGTTTTCTGTATAAAATATATTTTACAATCTTGTCTCAGAAAATAAAAAACAAAAGACAAAAAAAGGGCTGGGAATGTAGCTCAGTGCAGAGTCCTTGGTTTCAATCCCTAGTACCAACAAAACAAACCAAAAAGAAGAAACAACCCCCATACAACCATGTTGTATATATTTAAAATCTGTTTTTTCTTGCTTTCTTTTCTTTTTTTCAATGGAGTTAGAATTCACATAACAAAACCTGCTTTTTAAGTTTGCTTGCTGCTTTCTCTGAGAGCCAGGTCTGCCAGCTCTTTCATAGGTCATCTCTCAAGCTGTGGCAGGGATTTAGTTGGCAGGTGGTGAGAGAAAATCCTTGTCCCATCCTGGCCTGAGGCTCTGCAGTGGCAGCTATCACTTAGCTTGACAGAGATGCTGTTTATGACATCATCTTTAACGATGCACCTTTCTTCTGCTTTAACCATGATGAAGCAAATAAACAATTGGAAAACAGAGCCCCTGGACACACTCCTTCAAATAATCTGGGGTTGCTTTTTTGTTTCATTGTCTACTCTTATGTGTCTCTAAAATATTCCTCTTTCTGGTTTAACTTACACTTCGTGGTGATTTCCAAATTAAGTTGTTTTATACTCTTATCCATTGGTTTTATTTTTCTTCCCCAAGATGCTGAGATATTTCCCTGTATTTTGCAGTTTTAGGCACTATGCTAGGTTCTTTATTGTATATTATCTCAAAGCTAACCCAATAACCTTGGTAGAAAGTTATTTGTTGCTGAAATTTTGCAAATTATGAAAGTAAGTCCTGCTAATGATTAAGGGCTGGCGTTGCTGTACTGAAGTTCTGGTTTTTTAAATCTCAGGTTTCAGTGCTGCCTGTCATTAGTCCAGAGAACTTGGTCCTCTTCATTAATGTATTTAATTTTCTTGGAAAGAATGATAGAGCTCTAGAGATATATAGGGATTATTTCAATATTTATACATTATAAGTAATATTGTTTCAGAATATACATATGTATATATACTTTGTATATTACATATTTTAAATAGTGCATATATGTATGTATTCATATGAAGTAGTAATACAATAAGAAAATATAAAATAGTGTGCCATGAAAAGCCTCTCTGCCTCAAATCCAGTGGTCCAGTCTTACTCTTCCAAATGAAGATGATGATTAGTGGTTGCTAGTTTCTTCTGATTCCATCCTTATGCTTTTCTTTGCATATGTAAGCTAATGTAAACATTTAATCCTTTTTCCCCACTTTCTTTAAAAAAATACACACTAAATCTGCTGGAAGATAAAATAGATCTCTTGAGGACATAGGAGTAGGCAAAGCCTTCATGAACAAAACCCATACTGCATGGGAAATACTACAAAGAATCAATGACTGGGATGTCATCTTATTGAAAAGCTTTTGTATAGCAAGAGGACCCATCAACAGAGTGAAGAGACAACCCACAGAGTTGGAAAAAAATTTCACCAGCTATTCTGACAAAGGGCTACTATCTAGAATATATAAAGAACTAAAAAAAAAAATCAGACCCCAAAATTTAAAGACCAATTGCAAAAATGGGAGTCTGAAATGAACAGACACTTCTCAGATGAAGAATTAGAAATATAAAACATGAAAAAATGTGTCACTGGTCATTCGAGAGATGCAAATTAAAGGAACGCTAAGATTCTGTTTCCAGAAAGAATGGCTGTCATCAAGAAATCAACTAATAACAAAAGCTGGAGGGGCTAGGGGGAAAAAGGAATACTTCTCCACTGTTGGTGGGAGTGTAGACTGGTGTAGCCAATGTGGAAATCAGTGTGGAGATTTCTGGAAACAAAACAAAGCTAGGATTAGAGGTCCCATTTGACCCAGCTATTCCTCTTCTTGGTATCTTCCTGAAAGAATTAAAAGCACCATGCCACGGTGATATGTGCACACTCAGTGTTTATAGCAGCAGTCTGTAATAGCTATATCTTGGAAACAGCCCATAATGCCCATCCACTGAGGAGTGGATAAAGAAGATGCACTACTCGGCCATAGAGGAGGGTGAGCGTCAGACAGCTAAATGGATACACCTTATCGGGCGCACACGTTTAAATACTGCATTGTTTCTCTGGTGTGAGAAACTGAAATGGAAAGAAAATGTTTAAATGGGGAGGGGAACGTAGGGGGAGGGAGAAAGGAAGAAAGGGACAAGAAAAAAAGTGAAAATAGAAGGAAAAAATGGAAACAAAGCTTTTGTACATGGAAGGATTTGGGAGGGAAATGGAATAAAATGAAATTTATTAAAAATAAAGTAAAAAATGATAGCATTCTAGGCATGTTATATATTTTCATTCCGAAAAATCTTTCTTCTTTTTGGTGCTGGGATCGAACTCAGGTCCTTGTACTTGTGAGGCAGGGGGGCAGCACCATTGAAGTAAACCCCCAGCCCCTGAAAATCTTATCAATAGAGGCAGAATTTCATTTGTTTTTAAGAGTTACTAATTTCAGATAAATTTCACATCTACTCTGAAGCATATACTCAAGAGAACTAAACACTTCTATCCTCATGCGCGCATTTTCACCAGTGTTTGGATCATTAGTCATAATAGCCCAAATGGAAACAACCCAAATATCCACATGATATATTCATATAAGGGAGTGTTATTTGCTAATGAAAAGATTGAAATGCTGCTACAAATTATGATGAGGATGGACTTTGTAAATATGCTAAGTGAAAGAAGTCAGTCGCAACAGACTATGTATGCAAGTGTGCTTCCTAGTAGATCCAGTTACTAGAATAGGAAGTGAAAGTAATCAGTGATTTCCAGTTTTGGGGGGGTGGGGTAAGGAGTGACTTGATGGGTATGAGGTTTCCTCTTCGGGTGATGAAAATTCTTTAAAGTCACATATTGATGATGATTATACAGCCCTATGAATTTCTAAAATCCACTTAGTTGTAATTAGAAGGATATATATTATGGCGTGTGATTATATCTCCATGAATCTCCATTGCAAATTCTTATAAAGCTAAAGTTTTAATTCTCACCCTTGCAGTTATTTTTATTCAAGTAGGTTAGCCTTTAGTAACTGGACAGTTATTGTCTAGAGACTTCTAATTTGTCTCATCACACAGTATGTTCTGGTGGATTAATGGTCCACTTGGAGTGCCCAGCTGAACTGAATCAGTGTGGTTGTGGGCATGGAGGATCCACCTGAGGGTTGTTGCCAGTTTCATAAAGAAAGATCTGGAGGGGAAGATTGTTGGCTGTTGATTTTCTTGGAGAAGCTTTCCATGTCTGGTTTTCCTGATCCGAACTTGGCTGTTCTCCTCTGAGGATGAGCTTGGGGTCTTGCTGTTGCTGGGAATGGCTGCTCTTCTGTCAGGAGAGCCCTGACCTTTGCCTTGAGCATTGCTTCCAGGCTCCAGTGCAGATCCCTCAGCCTGGTGGCACAGAATCTTTATCCCACCAGTATAGACTTTCTAGCTTACACCACTGGCCTTTGGGCCTTCCTGGGGCAGATCCTCAATACGGACTTGCATGAGACACTGATGTGGGTTCTGGGCCTCTGGCTGAACTCATGCAGGACACTGACTTGGGCTCTAGGCCTTCAGCTGGACTTGTGCTGGGCATTGCTGTGGGATCCAGGCCCTGGGCTGGATTCTTTAGTGTGTGGACAGATCTCTGGCACTCTTCTGCATTTGACATTTTGGGTAAATATTATAACATAATCCTATAAATTATGTGTCCTGTATTACATCTATTCCCTTGCAATCCCTGATTATACGTTTTGAATTTATTAGTAGGCCATGTGTGATTAGTGTCTGTGGCTTCTCCTAGGACATGTATTCATGCACTTCTGGTCCTGGCTGCACTACTTTAGTTCTGTGAGAAGCCGTTTCTCAGAGTTAGTGAGGGGTAAGATTGTCACTGGATATTGCTCACTTTAGAACTGTCAGGCTACATGTAATTACAGAAGTTACTTGTTGTTATTAATGAATTCTCAGGCTTCAACTGAATTGTGTTCCTATCAACATATTTTCTGTTCCCAACGTTAATTGTTCTCTGTCCAAGTCTGTCCTCTGCCCTGGGCAGCCTCTGAGGGGCCGGAGCTGGACACACACAGTGGCTTTGCTATCTTTCTTTTTTTGTTTGTTTGTTTCTCTGTTTTTGGTACTGGAGATTGAACTCGGTTCCTTGCGCTTGCAAGGCAGGCCACGGAACTGCTGAGCCAAATCCCCAGCGTGCTATCTTTCTTTTTGCTGAATACTTTTTTAGTGATAGTGGCTTTTCCAATCGCTGCTGCCTCTGAATCTTGTTTATTGATGCATTGTTTTTGTACCTTAGGAATGAATGGTAAATAGGAACACGTGATAAACGGTTCTAGAGTTCTAACAACTGTCTTTCTTTAATCCTATTATTTCAAATATTGGCAAAGAGCTTTTTGGCAGAAATTAAAAGTTTGGTTTCATTTTGCTGAAAGGAATGATTTTTTTTCTTTTTTTGGTACCGGGGATTGAACTCGGGACCTTGCAAATGTGAGGCAGGTGGTGGAACCACTAAACTAAATTCCCAGTCCAAGAATTTCTTAAAATGAAATGTAAAATAAAAGTGAATGTCAGAAATACATTTCTCACAAATGCATCTATCTAATTTATTCATGCTTTTTTGTGTGTTTACTTTTCAGCTTTCCTATAGGCTTGCATTCCCTGTGACCAGCATTTATAGCTCGATACTCGCAGTGTGTAGGATTCTTGAAGTAATGAGAGATGAGTCAGCAGCAAGTGACTGGTTGGCTTCTGTGGAGTCCTTGCTCCCTGTGACTACAGTGGTCCCCATGCATGTTTTTCTTCTACTGGCTTACCTGCTCATTGAAGATCAAGGACCAAATCTTCACCAGATATTAAAGGTCATCAAGGATTTGGCTCAAGCGGATTCCTCAAAGGTAAAGCAAGAGAGTAGTGGAACTAGGGGAGCTTACTTAAGGGAATTAGTAGATTATTTTTACATGGTGGATTATGTAGATCAAAGTTTTAAGTTATGTAGTAGTTTGATTTTGTTCCTGGGTTTTTTTTTTTCTTTGTCTTTCAATTCTTTCTACTTACCCTGAGTTGATGTATAATGATAAAAATATTTCCTTAATGATAGCGTTCTTTGCAAAGAAATCTGCATATAATGCTATTCTCTTTGTTGGATTTGCTAATTTGTAATGATTTTTCTAACTCTTGAAGCCTATTCCAATATACATATATTTAAAAGCTCTAATCTTGATCTTAAAAGAAGTAGACCAAGATTAATCAATTCAGGATAAAGCTGCCTAGACAGTAGGCATTAATATCTTTTTAACATCTTATAATTTGATCCTGTCTTAATTAAATCATTGAAAAAAAACTGTTAATTCTGTCATTGAATACACTAAAAGTGGGTCCTCACTGTGTGTGGTATTAATATATGTACTGGGATGTGCATGTAGACAATCTTTCTTTCTGGCTGTACAGAACTTGAACATAATAAGAAAGCAGTTAGAAGCTCAGAAGTCTTTCTCCTCTCCTTTTAAACTATGTAATTAGAATAGTATCCTGTGACACCTCTCCATTGGATAGAATCTGTAGAATGCATTTGTAGTAAGGTGAGAGTTTCCTAACCGGTGGGGTATGTCTATCCTCTTATTTGTCAGTATCTGTGTCTTGTGTTTTGTGGCAAGGATGGTGGAAAACACATCTCTTAATGGAAAAATCATGTGTTTCTAGGGGAAAAATGGTTGTAGAGGTAGGACAAATGTGTTTAAGATATGAAGTTAATGCATTTGAAACTCCTTTTTATACCCAAATTGTCATGCTGATTCCTTTTGTCAAGTAACCAACTGCTGATATCTTGCAAAAAAAATTTTTTTTGGTACCGGGGATCAAACTCAGGACCTTCCACTTGCTTATAAGGCTGGTGGTGGCACCACTGAGCTAAATCCCTGGCCGCAAAAGTTTTTAACTCTGATCAGTCTTCTCCTGTTCTTAGTCTCTAAATGATTTGTATTGTACTCGAGTTATCTTGGTTTCTTGGTTACATACACAATGTAAATCATCAATTCAAATTGCTTCCTATTTTATATCTCTTTTCCACGTTCTGATCTCACTTCTGATCAACGTTTTCTTCTGGTGGTGGCATTTTTAGGATAATTTCTTTTGAATAGTTGGTCCATAAGTGATGCTGAAGATTACTTAAGGATTTCTTGAAATGACAGTGGATTACTTTGATCTGTCTACACTACTGGTATAAAGTATATATCACAGCTGTTTATTTTCTGTCAATACATTTGGTCTTTGAAATTCTAGGATGCCTAGATTGTACCAATAAACTCAATAAAAAATTTTTAAAAAGTAGAAATTCTAGGATGATACTTTTGGTTATAAGTAGCAGAGACTCATCTTAAAATACCTTAAATGGTTTTTCTGTGAATTAGCTGGTTGTCAAAGATTTATAACCTTAACTTCACAATCCAAAAGGAAGAGAGATGCAGAGAATGCTCAGATTGGCCTTTCTTGGGCCATGTGCCTACACTGGCCCGGCCATCATCCTAGGATAATGAGATACTTTGAGTAGCCATCGTAGGTGGAATGGAAATGAGGTCAAATGTTAGGACCCTAAAATTGTCTGTGCCACCGAGCTCACGTGGAGTGAGATTGGGATGATTCCCCAAAGGAAAAATAATTTCCTGGGTGGAGTGAAAGTGTACTAAATAGGTAAAAATGCAGAGGAGAACTTCTCAAATTGTGTTTCAGGAGACACTGAAATGCTGTGAATGTGGCAGGTGTGCTGAGATAGTACCCGCTCCCTCTCAGCCTTTTGGTACTAAGGTAGTTGTCTTAGCTCAGGCTGCCAGAAAGCCACTTGATGTTTCATTTTTTTTACCCTAGAGTTCTTGTAAACATTACTTTTCATGTGTACCATGAAGTGGAATAGCTTGGGAAGCATTAAAATGAGCACCAATTTTATTTATTTATTCAGTAAATATTTATTCAACAATGCTATAAATTGAAGTCAATGTGCTACACTTGTATTGATAATTATTTTGGATACTTCTAAAAGAAATACATCCAATGTAATTGTTCTTTTAAAATGAATCGTAGAGGGAAATGTTTAAATGTAGTTACTGAAAATTTCATGCAGATATAGGCAATATAATAAGAATTTAGAAGTGTTTTAAGGTTTTGGAAAAAGGCCAAAAGAAGGGTCCTAGAAATAGGAGATAGTCTTCCTCCCTCATCTTTCCTTATGAAGTGACTGTATTATAATGTTTTAGTAGACTATTGGTATAAGGTAAAGCCATGAAATGTTGAATATTGTATTTTGAAAAAGCAAGTTTACTATTAATGGTTGGAGAAGATTCAACTGAAATGTATTAAAGTTGTAATTTACTATTGATGTGTTTTCTCTTTCACTTAGTTGATGAGATTATATGAAGTGTGTTTATGTTTCTTGTGGATTAGTCCTTTATTACCTAATTAGAAGGACAATCATTGTCTCAAATTTATGAAAGAGTTCATATGAAAGAAAAGTTTTAGCAGTAAGACAGCTTAAGTAGTAAAGATGAGGAATTTCAAGGCTGTTTTTTTACCCCCGGTGGTCTATTGTCTGTAGTAGGATTTGGTCGTCTGCAGTATGCTTATCTAAGTACTGTGTTTGCATGCTATCTTGACTTATTGGAAGAATTCTGCTATAAGAGCTTTTGATTTTTTTTTTTTTTTTT